TACACACACACACACACACACACACACACACACACATTCAAACAGTTGCCCTTTTGGTCGTCTCTTAAGGACAAGTAAAACACTTCACACGTTATCTACAAATATAAACCCTATTATAATACAAATAAAATTGATTAAAATTTCCATAAACTACAAACATATTTATTATTTACAGTGCATTTTAGTATATTTCTAACACAGCCATAAATATCCTAATAACATGGTAATATTTAATTTTATACAGTGTTATTTATTTCAAAGAAAAGTACAGTACACTGAAAGTACAGTGCAGTACATTTTGAGACCAAAATGCTAAGAAGTAATTCAGTAAATGTCGCATGTGCAAAAAACGTTTAGAAATGTTGATTAGATTAAATAAATACTACCACTAGATAATAATTACGGTGATTGTAATGTACCCTAATACTGAATCATTGTAATTGCAAACATCAGGGTCAGTGGAATTATAAAAAGCACATTATTTCATACATGTATATCAGCATATAATAATTGTCAAACAAATAACACCCACATTATTGCAATTAATTCACTGAACATTTAGTAACAATGAATTAGTCATATATTTTTTTGTTGTTGTTGTACATTATAACCCGCACGTATAACAACAGGGTGAATTAGGTTACAGATTACACCAGGGTGCAATGGTTATTTAAAAACTATATATAATTTATTGTTTTATTCATTTGTACACAATAACCCCGGTTATATCTTACAATATACTACTTACACCATTGTATGTTTTTTATCAACATGCTATGAGTCAATGGGATGTACTTTAAATACGATGGTTATCATAGTTTTGTGGTGGATTTTCTATGGCATTTATCTATTAGGCTGAAATAATAAACTTTTTTATTTAATAATATTTTTTCAGTAATAATAAGTGTATTTTATTTTCAATACGTGACACAAATAAGTTGTAATTTATAGGAATTTTTATATATTTTTTATATATATTTAATTATTGTTTTTAATGCATGTTAAATAATATTTGACATACAGAGAAAAGCGTCCTAGCAATAATTTTGTACATTTAATTACCTAGGTTTTAATTGTTAACCAGTTGTAGTCTGTAGAATTTTATGAATATGCTTATTGACTATACATAAAATAGTTCATTATTATACCGACTCGTGAGATAAACAATAAAATAAAAGTATTGACTAAATATAACATTTAGTAAATGGGGTTTGAATTTGTATTTGCAATCCATTATATTTAAGTCAGATGTAGAAATGTATTGATTATTAACATGTATTTTGCCTATTAAACTGATCCCTAGTATAGCACATGACATGTAAAATGTATTTTAGATATAGCATAGGTAGACAATAAGAAAAAGTGCTAGACAAATTATAGCTCACACTATTCCAACATAAATCTATTATTATATAATATATGCAATCATTTGTTCATTTATTTTGTAATAATATTTTATTTGCTAAAATCAATTGTGTTTTCCATATATAAAACCCTTATTATATCTCAAATACATTATGAAAGAGTGAGTGTGTGTTAGGGGACAGGTATGGTGTGGTGGTGTAGGCTATGAATGTTGAGATCATTGGTATATTTTTGCGATATACAGGAGAGATAATAATAGTTTAGTGTAGTATTTGATGAGTTTGTGCTGTGTATGTATGGATGGTGTGCCTGATGTTTTGCACATACATGTATGGTATATATAATCTATCTATAAGTTTTATATAATATATATATACACACATCTATATAACTGTATATATACTATAGATAAGTGTAGACACACCACACCATACCATACATAATACATTTGATGCTTAACTACTTAAGTCGTTCGCAGCACTCACTACAGCATATTATCGTAATATTTAATAAAACTAATAGCGATTGTGAAGTGTAGTTCTTTCTCTGTGCCTGCGATGTAGTTATGTATTTATATGTAACATAACGTCAGTCAGTCATAAAAAGTCATTCATATATATAACACATACACTATATATACTGTATGTGCTGTCGCTGTCTGTGAAAAAATTATGTATTAAAAAAGTTTTTGAAATTTTTTAAAAGGCATAAAAATTTTAATTTTTCAATTATAATTGTGTTGTGTATTAAGATATACACAGATATAATGTGTATTAAGACCATAATGTGTTTTAATAATCAGTGAATTTATTGTGTATTTTAGTTGAATAAGTGGTAGTTTTTTCCCATCACTTATTCATTTGTTGTAATTCATATCAAACGGAAAAATATTTTTGTTATTTTTTAATTTTTTTTCGTTTTGCATTCATTTCTCTATTTATAAATACATTTTTCATTACATTTCATAACCCGTTTCTCGTTGTAAACGACTTTTAAACTACTAGTGATTATTATTATTTCAATAATATTATTATTGTTATTAATTTCAATTGAAATAAATTTCTACATAATATTGCTAACCGACTATATATGGTATTAGGACTTTGTTTAATGTATTGGAAAAGTACAGTATATTTTTATAAGTAAATATACATTTATTCCGGAATTTCCATATGTGTTATGTAAATGCATATACTTTAACATAATTTATTTCAAATTGATTGTGGTCATTTTTATATTTGTTATATACAATAATAATTATTGCTACTAAAAGTGTGTGCGTGTTTTTAATAATCATACAAATTATTATATCACCATAATTAATTAAATTTGGAAATTTATTTAACCCAAATCAACGATTATAATAATAATCAAACAAATTATTAACCAGGGTACAAAACAGCAATGGGAACAACAATGTTAGCCAAGTTGTCTCAATTATAGTAAGCATGATCATTTCTCATTTACATTAATTCATTTAATTAAAAAATTATTAAAACAATAAATCCCTTAATGAATAAAATACAAAATCAATGATTGATAGCAAACATGGTATACAACAAAAAGTCATTATGTGTTTAACATGTATAACACATTATACAATACACATACGTTTATATATACACACAGACACATTATGTAATTTACATACATGTTATATAACATGTAAGTCTATGTGCAAAAAGGCATGTGCACATTTTTAATAACTGTCTAATAGTGCCGGTGCCCGATATATATGGGTGTGTGGGGTGGAGTTATTGCATAATCACTATCAACTGAGTCATAGCCCTGTGCTTTAACAGACAGCCCAACTGTCCCTTTTTGTTAATCAAACAATATCTATAAAATAATATACTTATATAATATATATACAGTATATTTATGGATAATCTATTTATATGGTTCGTATAAATAACCTTCAATGACCCTGGTGAGACGCCATATACCGGCATGTCAGTGGGATATATAAATTTAATTAAATAAAGTAAACTCGTTGTGTTTTTATAGTTATAGTATTTTATGTTTTAGATAATGATTTTAGCTTAATTAATCTAATTGCGAGTCGATATTTATTATCGATACGTAAAAACGTGTTAATTATTTTGCTGACATTAATAAAATAAGTGTCAATTTGTTTAGCTTGTGAGTTATTCTAGTGGGGTATTGAATAGTTAATACCATGATGCAAAATATAATGAATGTTCACTTGTTATTAATTATATTTTTATTCATTACACTTATTATCATATGGCTTACAGTCTGATTAGTAGGAATCGTCTCTCTCTCTAAAATGTTTAAATAAAAAATTTTGTCATTTAGTTTTTTAAAGTACATGTAAATATTCACAATTTAATAAATATAACATACAGTACTTGTAAGTGTAAATAACTTAAATGACATAATTAATGACGTCGTCAATAGACTCCCAATTAATTATAAATTATACTTAAAATCATACATTTATTGTGCATTTGGTAAATAATTTACAGTTTTATAAATTAGCAACACGATAAATTGTTAAACTTAAAAACTTTATAAACTGAATGTAAAAGAATGTTTTATAATTATACAATTAATCTAGTATATTTTAAGATGCTGGAAAATTTACCTGAAATACTGTAACTTAGGTGAGGCACAGTTAATTAATTATTATTATTATTATTAATTATTATAACTAATATAGCAACATTTTATAGTGTTTACATAATTATTTAATAAATTCTATTATAGTAAATTAATTCTGACAACTGTCCAGCACTACATTTATTTATTTATTAATAATAAATTATTATCATTCTAATACCTAAATAAAAAATAACCAAAAGCATAAGTGTAAAATGTTTATGTTGCCAAAATACATATTTTTCATATTTATAAATAATCTACATGATTAAAATTTATTTTTATTATAAATAGTGTATTGAAATTTCCATTATATTATTATAAAACATATTTCATCTTATTGTTTTGCAATCATTTTATTGTTATTATTGCCATTTCCAGGTAAAATACATTATAAACCAGCATGATTGCATGCATTAATTGTATTATAATTTATGAATGCAGTAACAGCGACAATAATAAAAAGGTAAAAATATAAAATACATGTTTTTAGTATTGATAATGTGTTTCCCATTTATATAACAAATACTTATATTATAATAACTATAGAGATATTGATAAATGTATGAATCATTTCCATGTATTTCAAAATCCAATTGACATTTAATTGTTATGTAATTATATATATTTTAAATACAATATTTTACAAACTAGTATTTTATGTACATTTAATACATTGAAGTACAGGGGTGTAGAGGGGGTGGGGTATGTAGATGTAAATTTTACACTGTAAAAGTAACAACAAATAACTAGTTAGTTTCATTTGGCAAACATTCAATTTGTTTAATATAACCCAATCTATAAATCAATATAATATATAAATAAAATACAAAATTCAAACATAATTTAAATAATAATATTTATTGTATAAAGCTAAAAATAATACACAGTATGATAAAATTACAATACAACAAATAACATTGCGCCTGTTGTCAACGCCTGATAATTTACCTGATGGCATAAAACATTTAGTTTATTTACCTGGTTGTCAACAAAAGTGACATAAATGTTAACAGTTTAAAAGAATAAAAAATAATTATTATGCATGTTATATAAATAATTTATATTTACACAGATGTGTATAAAAAATACAAATCAACACAATATAATATAATGAATACAGACCCATCTAGATATAACAATGATTGACATTTTGTCTAGATAAAGTTTAAGTTAAATTATTAACATATATCGATTGACAGTAATCAATTCAATGTTAACATTTAGTATATTAAAATATGTTAATAAGTAAATAAGTTTATTTTATTTAAACATTGTAAAATATTCAGTATGTTTTTTAAATTATTTGCATTGGCATTTATTTTACCAATGCTATAAATTACTACAAAATGTTATAATTACCATGTACACTAATATACCAAGATGTTATTTATAAAACGCGTACAGCAAATAATTATAAATGTACTTTTAATATTAAAATGATTAGAATTTTATAGTACTTTCTAACCTATTAATGATAACCTATCATAAAAATACCATAAGGGATTAATAACATTATATTAATTAGTAATCATATTAATTAAATAGGCTTATCATGATGTAGCAATTAGTAAATTAAAGTTTATATGTATTTCCTTATACATTTTTATGTAAATANTCTCTCTCTCTCTCTCTCTCTCTCTCTCTCTCTCTCTCTCTCTCTCTCTCTCTCTCTCTCTCTCTCCATATATGATAAAAAAATGTTATTTAATGTAAAATTTTCATAAATCTATATCTTTTTAGCAATTTCAGTAATCATGTGTTTTCCTAAACATGAGAGAGAGAGAGAGAGAGAGAGAGAAAGAGAGAGAGTTGCCAAATATATACACATTTCAATAATTTACTGCATTTTCGTAATTCACTGATAAGATAAAACACAAGACATTTAATACAAAATGCATGCCTCATGTTGTGGTGATATATGAGAAACTATAACATATAGAGTTATAAATACTTAATAACTTCATAACAAACAAAATAAAATTTACTAAAATTACCAACATTGACTTTTACGTACAACATTATATTTGCAATACCCTTATTGTATAATAATAAATATCACCTACACTATAAAATGTTATATTATGCAATAATCAATTGGGGTTAGCATGTTGTGAATGTTGAGTAAATACATGCTAAACTGATCACGAGTGAATTAATAGTATAACAAAACTGATTCAATAAAATACAGAATATTTAATATTTAAGATTAATTAATTTTATTTTATTTACACTATTTTAAATAATATTTGCACTAGATTTAACATAGCAAAATATAAAAGTTACATTTATTTATCGCATTATAATGGTGTTGACAATAATCACACACATGTTTAACTTAAATAACATATAACATTCTGAGTAGTAAATTGTCACAAAGAAAAATAACAATTCATTATAAAATCAACCATTTTCAAACTAACCAAAAACAAACCAACACCCAATATACACAAAAACTACCGGTGCAAAGGATAGGCACGCACACAGTATTAAGCATTAATTGCATGTTACAACATGGTGTAATAATTTTGTTATATATAATACACATGTGGGTATAGTTAATTCATTTACTGTACATAAGCTATTAATGTGAAAGTGTATTGATTGTCACGTTTGGCATACCTGTCCCCCACACTGGCACTGGTATCCCATTCCCATACCATTTAGGTTTTATTGCTATTTATCATTTAAATATTATTACAGAAACATAAAATTGAATCAGAAATACATATATTAAATAACGCATACCTTTAGTCCACATTAATCATGGATGTGTTGCAATTAAATGAATAATATATATATTAATTATCACGTAGAATATTTACATTTGTAATTATGTACATTTGCTGATTTAGTTAACCTAGTTTGTATACATGTAATAAGGCGACCAAGATTAAAAATATATTTAAATTATAGTTAACATTTAAAACTATTTTACAATGAGTCTAACCATTAAATTTAATTATTAAATAAATCATTGTTACCTATACTGAGTGTATACTGTATACAGAACTGGAAAATCAAATACCATAAGTAAAAATAACACATTTTTTACTATTAAAAATGTGCGATTATTTCCAGTGTATTATTTGTTTGACTATTTGGTTNCGTGATACACCTGTTGACGGCGCCGGGCGTAACGGCGGGCGCCCACCGGCTGTGGTCGCACCGGTCGTTCAAAGCCAAGTGGCCGTTAAGGCTGTACCTAATGATCGCCCAAACGTTGTCACTTCAACGGGATATCTACGAGTGGTCGGCCGACCATCGCATTCACCATAAGTTTTCCGAGACCGACGCCGACCCCCATAACGCCAATAGGGGTTTCTTCTACGCCCACATGGGCTGGTTGTTTGTCGAGAAGCACCCGGAGGTGATTAAGAAAGGTCAGTTTTGTGCAGTTAACATTTTTTTAATGTCATGTATGTGAGTATTTATTTTAAAATGTAGGTAATTTTTGGTACTTTTTTTGCTAATTTTTATTTTGTGAAGTTTATAATAAAAATCTATTGTAAGTTCTTACTTTTCGTGAGTGTCACTACCATTTAGCAAGTAGTATTTTTAAAAAGCTATTAACAATTAAATGATATAGTAATTTTTACAGTTGTTCACAGATCTAATTTTGGTAATTTAGCCTTTATTGGATTTACAATAACCATGATTTGTTTACATATTTACAAGTATATCTCAAATTAAATTTGGTTTAAGAATTTTTGGTATAATTGTGATTATATTTAAATAAAAATAAAAAATACGTTAAATATTTTTACTAAAATTTTATATGAAATTTTGATAATAAATTTTACAAAATTTTTGAGAGGTTTGACATTTAACAAAATGAATCATGCATATATTAATTTATATGACATTCAATAAAGTTTTATATAAAAATCGTGATTAAGTACAAAAAGGTAAATTAAAAATAAATTATTTTGTGTCTAAATATACATTTATTAATCCCATAGGAGATTATTAGCTGAATGTTTGTTATTCACACCCTATGTGTGGATGTATTGTATTTATTTTAATAATTAATAAAATTTATCATTTAATGATAGGTAAAACATGAATTGAATTTTGTTAATTATTTAACATTGTTAATTTGTGTAATTATATAATTTTGTTAAATAATATAGATACTACATATTACTGTATTGTAAATTGTAAAATATTTTCTCGCACTCTCCCATATACAAATAGAAATGACCTGTTCAAAAAATATGTTATATTATTTTTAATTTTAAAAATATTAATAGTTAATAAACATTTCATCATGATTTTAGCTTTAACGAAAGTTTTGTAAGTTCTTCCAAATTTGTAGGTACTTCCAATTTTTTAACATCATAATAAATTAATAAATTGATATAGTATACACGAATTTGCACTTTACAGTTTATAAGTCTCTTTCTCAAATTAACAATTTAATCAAATTATTATAAATTAATAATAAATAAAAAGTTACCCAAATTTATTTACTAATAGAAAACGCAATTATTAAACTCTTTGGGAATTATATAATAAATAATTAAATACAAAATATTTATAAAATAATTTATTATTTATAAAATAAACTAATAAATGTAAAAGTGAGTTGTTTTTAAAAAAAATTTTTAGTAAATATTGTTAAAATTTATAACCATATTTATATTGACATTTAGCTATATTAGACATCTATTAACAAAATACTTGTTATTCTAAAAAGAAATTTAATTGAATGAAAATAATAGCATAAATTGGGCGGAAAATAGCATTAAATTATTTATAATAATAAATGTCACTATTTTTATAATGGATATTAAATGACAATAACTATTTGTCTACTATTAATAAATCTAGTTGGTCGTGGACAATTAATTTAATCATCATTAACTCATGTTATTTGTTAACAATAACAAAAAAATACAATAATAATTTTAAATAGATTTACATTTTTATAATCTACCTATACCATATTAATGCAATCATTTTGTTTTATTTGTTACCTTATTATAGCCAAAAATATCGACCTGAGCGATTTACTAGAAGATCCAATTGTATACTACCAGCGCAAGTTTTATTTGCCCTTGGTAGCGATCATATGGTTTGCCATACCGGTATTATTACCATGCTATTTATGGGGCGAATCGTTTTACCCATCTCTCGCCATTAGCATCACACGATATGTTTTGTATGTATTTTGTTTAATTGTTTATTACATAGATTATTATAAACTAATTATATAAATGTCATTTTAAAATTAGATTTTATATATAAAGCTACAAAAAAAAGTTTGTTTGCCAAACATTAAACTGTTTATTGCATTCAAACATGCAATGAGTATATGAAAAAAAATGATTATGGTAGAACCTTAGGTTTAAGATATGCAGCATACAATTAATTGTATGCTAATTATTATATTTGTTTAATTACTGCATAATTTCATTAAATTGTACCATAGATATTAGTTGGTCAAAATATAATAATAGTATATACAGTATGCTTAATTAGAATTAGCATTTAATGAGCTTCTCATAACATTGAACGTTATGATAATTTTTAGCATTTATTATTATACAATGACATTAAAGGATTAACCCATTAATTTATGATAGACAGCAATGCCATAAAATAACATTGTTTAAAACAATCCCAGTAATAAATTGACATAATTATCAAATAAACACATAATGCATGTGTGGTGTAATACTGTATATACTTTGTAGTAATTGGTAGATATAATTATATGGGAATTAAACTTTTATTGTAAATAACAATTTTAATTGTTTATAATAATTTTAAAAATGTTTAATTTTTAATTCAATTTTATACAAAATGAAACTAACATGTTTATTCAATTACCTAGCATGCTTCACTGCGCATTCTTGGTCAATTCAGTAGCTCATCTGTGGGGCGCTCGTGAGTAGTTTGTATTCATATTAATTTATTTATTTGTAAAAATAATAAGATTAATTTATTCATTATAAATATTAATTTGATCAGGTCCATATGACAAAAACATTAATCCAGCAGAAAGTCAATCGGTAACCTGGCTCACACTAGGAGAAGGTAAATAATAATGATTAATGTTTATTTAACATTGTTAATTGTCTGTTTTAATTAATTGTATTGTAGGTTATCATAATTATCACCACGTATTTCCATATGATTACTCTACGGGAGAGTACGGATGGGAGGTATGCACATAATTATCAGCCACAAATTGTTTTATCATAATGGGTTAATAATTAAGCTATAGATTATGGGTTAGAGATATGATTAACATTGGGCTAGAGATATGATTATGGTAGAAAAACATCTACATGTAATTTTAATTGTCATTTTAACTTAAAAACTATTTATAAAGTTAGATCAAGTGCGATGATAAAACCTGGACTAATTATTAAACCCATAAGATGTTGCCTATTTAACACTTATGAAAAACTTATACAAAATAAGTTTGTCATGTGACGTGAAAACATTATTTGTTTGTCAAACTTATTATGGTAATTACAAATTAAAAACATTAATTAATTAAATGTGTAACTAGGAAAACTTCAACATAACCACCTTGCTGATCGATTGGTGCGCCCGACACGGCCTGGCCTACGACCTGAAACGGCCGACACCGACAACCATTGAACAGCAACGGCTCAAAAAGGGTCAGGAAGTGGTGAATAAGCCAAACATCGCGGCCGTAGACTATCTGACCGGCATTGGGGTACAGACGTGGATAGTATGGGTGCCCATGACTTGGCGATTGATTCGGATCATAATCAATGTGTGATCACGCACACTGCATCAATTTGTATCTTTATTTATAAACATTTATATTTATTTAATAGTGATTGGTTGTTTATTTTATTATGATCATGTTTATAATTATTATTATGATGTAACCATTGTGAGTTTTTTATAATTGATTATTATTATTAAATGTTTATTAAAATATTTTTAGATTTTTGTTTAATGAGTTTTTATATACGATTTTTTGGTTTTGATCTAGGTTGATTTTTTGGCACTGTTTTTAAAAACAATTAATTTCTGTAATAATTGTGTAATTATTAATTATTTATGATGATAATTATGATGATAATAATAATTTTTATTTATAATTATTATATTAATATATACACTTATTAAATTAATTTATAACATTGTTTGTTTTGTAATAGTCTTCCAAATATTTACATCGATTAACAAACAAATATAACTATTCATACATTAGTATTTAGTTTAACCATAATTGAAATAAATTCATGATTTACTAAATTTCTAATTAATTATTTTACATAGTTTAATAATATTTAATGTGTGTCCTTAATAAATAAATTATGAAAGAGGGAGGGAGGGAGAGAGAGAGAGAGAGAGAGAGAGTGAGAGAGTC